GCTGATGACTGTCAAATTTATCTGCCATTAAAAGCTAATGGTTCTTGCAGAGAGAAAAGCAGTTTTATGTAAGCATCAACCGAAACACGTTTGCTGCAGATCTGCTAACTGTTGCTAACTCTGACGTGCGCTCCTACGTAACGGCGTGTTTCCTGGATTTAAAGTTCTGCCAATACTTATGGATTATTGCAGATTATCTACACCCGGTTCACAAATAAGGAATGGGACAGAGAAAGTAAAAGGAGCCAGATCATACACAATGGTTTCCAGGAGAGAGTTGTATCTCTGGATCTCCTGCAGTAGGACCACGTTGAGGGGCGAGGGTTTTTCCTGCAGGAGGGTCCTGGTTCTGTCGCAGTCGATCAGAGCTGGGATCTTCCCCCGGATGTCTCCCAACAGCTCTAGGACCTGAAAAAAGCAGAAGGGACAGACTCGCTGAAACTTACCCAATGATATAAACGTATGAAGTGGTGATGTTACGTAGAAGCACTGGTCATTCCACTCAGGGCTGATTCAACTGTGTGAATGTTTACGAAGCGTTCGGATTATTGTGAAACATTTTTCTTCTGTACGTTGTCTCGTTCCACAGTTTTTGTGCTACTTCAACGCTTCATAAATAAAAAACGTTCAGCTCATTCAGGAGAACGTTGCTGTAACTTTCAGTTTTGTTGCAACTTCAGCTTTTTGAAATATTTAGTCTTTTCTGCCACTTTTTGCCTCATAGAAAATGAACTGAGCTCATTTTACCTCCTTCAGATCTTTAGATCTGTTTTACAAGCTTTTACTGCTCCTTTCACTTTTTGTTCTGCTTCAGCTTCCTTCAGCTTCTTTCAGCTTCCTTGTGCAAATTTAAACTTTTCAGCCAATGTGATCTGTTTTTTCCAGCTGTATTGTGCTCATTTCAGATTCTTTCTGCTACCTAAAATATTTTTGTGCTTCTTCTAACTTTTTAGCTTGTTACACTCCTTTCAGCTCCTTTCTGATAGTTTCAGTTATTTCTGCTACTATTTAGCTGGTTTTATGGCAATTTTAGCTTTTTCAGCTAATTCCACTTAATTTTGCTATAATTCCAACTTCTTTCAGCCTAATTCAGCAAAATCGTGCTCTCTCCACTTCCTTCTGGTAATTTAAAGTTCTTCCTGCTTTTTCAGCTACTTTTCAGCTGTTTTTTTTTGTGCTAATTTTTTTCCAATAAATTCCACTTTTTGTGCTCATGTCTGCTTCTTCAGTCTAGTATTGAAAACGTGTTATTTCTGCTTTCTTCTGCTAATTTAAGCTTGTTCTAACTTTTCAGCTACGTTTTTAGCA